ACTGTAGCTGTGTAGTAAATTTTGAAATCAGGGAGTGAGAGGTTTCCAACCTTATTCTTCTTCTTAAGCAGTGCTTTGCTTATCCTGGGTCTCTTTCTTTTCCATATAAAGTTTGTAATTGTATTCTCCGTCTTTTTGAAGAATGTCATTGGAATCTGGATTGGGATTGCGTTGTATGTGTAAATTGCTTTGGGCAGTATTGACATTTTCACAATGTGTTAAATCTTCCTATCCAGGAGCATGGTATACTCTTCTACTTTTGTAACTCTCTTTTGGTTTCTTATTGTAGTGTTTTATAGTTTTCTTCAAATAGGTCCTTTGTTTCTCTGGTTACATTTATTCCTAGATATTTCATCCTTTGGGCAGCTATTGTAAACGGTATTGCTTTCCTAATGTCCTTTTCAGCACTGTCATTGTTGCTATAGAGGAATCCAACTGATTTTTATATGTTGATCTTATACCCTGCCACTTTGTTGAATCTTTCAATGAGGTCTCGTAGCTTTTTACTGAGTCTTTGGGGTTTTCTGTGTAAAGGATCATGTTGTATGCAAATAGAGAGAATTTTATTTCTTCTTTGCCAATTCGGATGCCTTTAATTTCCCTATCTTGCTGTATAGCCTGGCTAAGACTTCCAGCACAATATTGAATAGGAGTGGTGACAGAGGGCATCCTTATCTGGTTCCTGTTTGCAGAGTGAAGGCTTTCAGTTTCTCTCCAATCATTACTTTTGAAACATAAGAGATTGATTTTTTAAAAGGGAAACCAGCCAGGATTCTGTATCTAAGAATTCTTTTGGTACCTAACCTTCCAGGCTTTGTTTGTGTGTATATACAGTGAGACCTGTGAGATCCAAACTTGGTACAACTGCCCTGTTTTTCCAGTTATTGCAAGTCTCCATCTTAGCCACTTAAAAAAAAAAAAAATCCTTTTCTATTAGTGGACAGTATTTGACTTTTTTGTGTCTGACAGGTTTCTGCCTTATACAGGTTCTAACTTTTGCAGGGTTTACTGTACCACAAGCATAAGCAAGAACGTTCCAATAAAGTATATATATAAAATTTTAACAAGCTATCCGCTCTGTGCACAGGGTAGATAGGGACGGGCAACTTAGACATTGGCTATCTAAAATGAGGGGGCAATAAAGGCACGAAGTGACTGGCTTACAAGGTTTCAAGAG